GTTGGAGGGCGGCAGCCTGGCCTCGGCAGCTGAGTCCGCAGCCCCCCCAAAATACCCCAGTGCTGCCCCAGAGCTGCCCTGTGCAGCAGCCAACCCCATGGCCGACCTCAGCCAGGAGTGGAAAGTGGTGAAGATCCAACGGGTCCTCATCAACCCCGCCGGCGAGCCGAGGAAAGCGGGTAAGAGAAAACCCCCTTTGGCCACCATCCCCTGCCCTGAAAAGCGCTGCTGTGATCCCAGCGCCGGGGCTGCCGCTGCCTGGCACGGCGGTGGGAACGCCCGGCTCTTCCCAGGGCAGGACCTCCGCTGGGTTAGAGGTCCCAGGCTCCCGGCTGAGCCGCTGGGATTTTTTTTAGCTTGAGATGATCTCTCTGGCCTTAAAAATAAGGAGGAATCCGTGGCTTTTCTCAGGAGGGGGATGGGAAGGCAGCGGGTGGGTTCCCGGTCTCCAGGAGCTCAACAGAACCCCGATCAGGGCACGAGCAGGGTGGGCTTCCCGGCTCCCACCCCGGCCTTGGGGCTCAGTGGGACCCTGCCAAAAAGGGGGTGATTAGGACCAGCTCCTGGGGCACTGCATGGGACAGGGACATCTCTCCCCGGTCCACCGGGGTGGGGATGGCCAAGCATTTGTTACGTGGCTTGGGGCCATCTCTCTTTCAGCCCCTGGTTTAAAAATTAAGCACTTTATTTCGGGCTGGTTGGTTCCTACAATGCTCTGTGCCATCGCCTCGCTTCACAGCCCCGTTTCACAGCCGTTCCCCTCTGTGACTGTCCCTTCAGCCGCATACAGGCGCATATCTAGGGTTACCGCAGACCTCCCCACCCTGGGGAGATGCTCCTGCAGGATCAGACCCCCTCCTCTTGCAGGCATCGGACCCATTTTTAAACCTCGCTTCCACCCTTCTTTCTATTTTGCTCCTGCCCAGCTGTTATCTCAGCTGCCATGCGGCGCCGGGGCAGGTGTGTCACTGTCCCCATGGGATGGCGTTATCGGATGCTGCGGCTCTGCTCACAGCCTGGTTTTCCCAAAGCAGCCCTGATGATGGGGAGGGAAGGCAGCGGCTGGGGCTGCTCGACATAAACCTGCTGTGCGGAATCCAACCCCCCCCACCTTTTTTGGGGGTGTCAGATGGCCTCAAAACCAGCGGCTCTCTGGATGGGACAAGGGCTGGGAAGTTCAGCCAAGCCCTTTGGCTCGTTGCTGCCCCAGCAGCTCCCCGGCCGTACGGGCGTCGTGTTTCAGGGCTCAGCACACAATCCAGACGGACCCAAATAGTCTTCCCATTTCTCACTCTGCTCCGGGATGGCAGAATCTGCGGCGGGGAAAGGTCAGGCCTGACTCTGTCCAGGCTCAGCATTTTCCTAACCCGCACCACCGTCCAACACTTTTGCTGCCAGCCTGGAATTTTAAAGTAACTCAACAGGTTCGTTGGAAAGAGTTTGTCTGTCCCGTTTCCTCCCCCTCCAAGTGAGATCACCGCCAGCCACTGCCTGCGGGACCCGTCAGACTTTCCAAAGCCTCCGGGCAGGATGTCGCTGAGGGTCCTGAGGGCCGGCGGCGGCGGCAGCGCCGGGACCTCGTGAAAAAACCCGCAGGTTTGCGAAGGAGAGGTTTGGCTCAGAGCAGGGAGGATGGCAGAGGAGGGAGGGAAGGATCCTCGTGGATCCTTCCGCAGATGGAAGATGCAGATCCCCGCGCAGGTGGCATCGGGGTGGCTTCTGCAGCGGGGTGTTTGCTGGAGCATCCCCGGGAGGTGTCGAGGATTTGCTCCTCTTCTCCTTAGCTGGCCGGGGGTAAAATAACCCCTGCCCATGCAGCTCCTGCAAGAGAAAGGGGTGCATCCCACTGCCCCCAAAATCATGCAAGGGTGGGAGCTGGGAGCCAAGTGGGTGCCCCTTTCCCCCCCTCTCCCCGGAGCGGTGCAGACCCGCTCAGGCAGGTCCTGGGTGCCCCTTTGGTTCCCATCCAGCAGCCCAAGGCCAGGCTGGCTGCTCCCAAATATCCGGCACAGCGGCCCGAGCTGGTTGGCACCTCTCAGGGCAGGCTGGGGAGCACAGGAGACCCGGGGAGAGGCAGCGGCCGTGAGCTGCAGGAGGCAGGACTGGTTTCTCTGTCTGGTGTGCAAATAAAACAGAAGGTTTCGCTCCCTGGGGGTTGCCGTGCCAGCGCCAGTCTCCCTCAAAAACCAGAAAAGAGCAAAAAAGCAAAGAAGGGCAGGAAGAAAGGAAATTAGAAAGGCAAAAAATAAGGCCGAGAGCTCATCGCGCGGTGCGGACAGGGGCGGGAAGGGGGTGAGGCTGGTCCCATCCGCAGCGGTGCTCAGCAGCTCTGCAGCCCCAGCAGCTGCCAGGTGATGCTGGCTCCCTGGGAATCATCGCGCCCAGGGCTGTAGTCCCCCCCCACCCCGTCACTTGGAGCAGACCACCCCTGGCAGAGGCTTTTTGGTGTTCTTCCCAGGGTGGATCCCCAGGGCGGCGACACCATTGCTGGATTTCTGCCCATCTCCCAGTGCCCCAACTCTTTAGGCACGGGGGGGAAAGCGGCAGCAAGGGGAGGCCCTGCTTCCCTGCCGGGTAAGGTGCTGCGGGTCCCCAGCAGTGCTGGGAGGAGGGAAATGGGGGTGAGGGGTAGTTGAAGGGGGGGGATGCTAATGGCCAGGGTTAGGGGATGCGCAGGGTTGGGAAAGGGGGATGTGCGTGGCAGGGATAAAGGGGATGTGCGGGGCTGGGTAAGGGGGATGCCCCAGGATGGAAGAAGGGAATGCACAGGGCAGGGATAAGGGGGTGCCCCTGGCGAGGTAAGGGGGATGTGCAGGGCTGGGTAATGGGGTGCCCCAGCATGGAGGAAGGGGATGCACAGGGCAGGGATAAGGGGATACCCCGGGCTGGATAAGGGGGTGCTCCAGGATGGAAGAAAGGGATGCACAGGGCAGGGGTAAGGGGATGCACAGGGCAGGGATAAGGGGATGCTCCAGGGTGGAATAAGGGGGATGCCCCAGTATGGAAGAAGGGGAAGCACAGGGCAGGGATAAGGGGATGTATAGGGCAGGGATAAGGGGATGCCCTGGGCTGAATAAGGGGGTGCTCCAGGGTGGAAGAAGGGGGATGCACAGGGCAGGGATAAGGGGGATGTGCAGGGCTGGGTAAGGGGTGCCCCAGGATGGAAGAAGGAAATGCACAGGGCAGGGATAAGGGGATGCACAGGGCAGGGATAAGGGGATGCTCCAGGGTGGAATAAGGGGGATGCCCCAGTATGGAAGAAGGGGAAGCACAGGGCAGGGATAAGGGGATGTATAGGGCAGGGATAAGGGGATGCCCTGGGCTG